GGTACTGTCCATATTACTGTACATGATACCTCCTTCTCTTGTTGTGTGTTATTAGTGTATTTTTGGCTAACAGCTCGAAGTCTTGAAGGCTCCAATCCCTGTGAGAAGAGCTAGATGTTTATTAAAGGATAAGCCTTTAAAAGAAGAAAAAATGATGCTCTCAGCTTAATAGGTGTGAAGACTGGATGTTAATAAACTTTAAACCAGGGAAAATATTTTCAGTCCAAAAATAATATTTACATATTTTTATTTTTTTACATTTTATTGTTGTTTGAAAATATTTAGAATAGCAGCTAATCGATTGTGAGGATGTTACGCAATATGTTCAAATACAAAAAGTGTAAATGTTTCACATCCTCTGGAACTAAAAGTGATTTTTTAAACCTAAAGCTATTAAATCAAGTTTAATAAGAAGAAAAAAAAACTGTTAAACGACATGAAAATGGTGTAAATGCAGTTTTAAAAGACAAACAAAACGATTGTGCCATTGCAAACTGCAGTGGTATTTACAAAAAGGACTACTTTTAAAGTCAAATGTAGACTTTCTGTACTGAAAAAGTTCAACCAATTATTTTTTTGTTTACACTTATTAATATGTGGGGGTTTTTTCAAAGTAAAGCAAGCATGTTTTTATCTTTACTCAGTTGTAAGAAAGAGATGTAGAGGTGACAGTGATGCTATAGACACAGCACAGTATGTACCCCAAATTAATTTATTTAGTGAAATAATTGTTCTTTTAATCATGTTATACTTTAAAAAAAACTATTACTGTATTTTCAATTTTTTCAATTTTAGTGTTTAACAGTGTAAATTTTGTTACACTTCAAAGGTCTGTCATGTAAAATAACAGTAATATTAACATTAGCACTCTGGTAGAGTTAAAATAAATACATGCTCCAAAATAAAGTAATGTCATATTTCCTTAATATAATGAGAGTATTGTGAGCAAGATGCAAGAAACTGCATCTGTTGAAATTAATGTGTTAAAGTACAGTAGTTGTTTTTTAAATGCAATGAAGAGTAACTTTAAATACCTGCAGTCAAGACAATACCATAACTTTCAATTAACATAAGTGCAGTGGTACATGGTACATGTCTGTGTTTTTAATATAAATAGGTTGTACTGTCATAACTAAAAGTTTAGGCAATGGCACAGATTTTGCGTTTCAGTTTTTTTTGTTACATTTTTACTTCTTTTGATGATGAAGAACAATCATAAGCATTTTATGAATTTCAAAGACTTTTATTGTTAAACAAAATACATTTTTACAAAGAGTCTGTATTTACAATGCTGACCCTTCTTCATAACTTCTGCAATTCTCCACGACGTGTTGGATATCAGCCTCAAAATCCTGTTTGATGGTGATCCAAACTCCACGATGTCCCCAGTATATGAACTTCTGCTTGTCCATCCACTTTTTTAAGGTCTCGCTAAGGCATAAACTCTTGGTCTGGAGAGTTTCCTGGTATTGGATCGAAAATGTTAATTTGATGATTATCGAGGCACTTTCGACTCGCTTTTGGCTTGTGACATGGCGCTCCATCATGCATGAATGTGATTATGATCATCGTTGTGATCAACTTGGTGCACTGACAAGCCAGGAATGGTTGGTCATCAATCAGGATTTACCACAGAAGCCGACATCCAGTCTGCCACGGAGGACTGCAGAAGTCATCAAGAAGAGCGTGTTCCTCACGTTTAACATTTATTGAGAGGGGGAAAATCCCATTAAAATAAGAAATGTTTAATGTCCTTTACCAATATAGCATAATATGTCATATTATACTATATTGGTAAAGGACATCCAGGCAGTGTGTGTATATATATAT